CTGTTTACTAATGCCTAGTGAATATTTTGTTTTGAAAAATTGACTACAGTTCGTCAATGGATTAAGATGAAGAAGCGAATGAAAGTATTGTTAAAATGAAAATTATTATGATAAACTGTTATTGTTAAAAGCTATTATTTAAAAATTTTTAAAGTAAATAAATAATATTAAATTAATTTTTAATGTAAGCTGCATCTATTCAAAAAAATAGAACAAACAAGTCAAGTAGCCTATACATAATCTAAGCAGACAATAAATATTTTAAAAAATAGGTTATAGACATGTTAAAATAATAAAGCATGAAATATAATAATAACTGATTTATATATTATATAAAATTAACATATAATGAGTAAAGAAAGTCTTATAATTTAACTTTAAAAAAGCAAGAATAGAAACTAAGTATAATCTATGATCAAATATGTTGAACAAATGAATAATACAGCATTTTAACCCCTTTGAAACGATATATAATTTATTATTAAACAAACAGGAATCATAAAAAATGTTTATTTTTTCTGTTAAACTCATTATGTGTTAAGATAAATGACTATTTAAGTAGTTATTTATTGGGTTTTTTTGGCACAAGAATGTAGTTAATTTAATAGACTCTTTTGCCAAAAAAACAATAACTAACTACATTTATTTTTTTAAAATGTTCTTTACGAAGTTTAAAAAAAGGAAAAATATACCCTTAAAAATTATTATCTGTGAATACAGCACGAATTTAAATTTACTGTCCTAAGCTGAAACGTGTGAGGCCCTAACCTAAATTATAACCTACCTGGAGTTTCTTTCCCTCCAGTAAACAATAAGTTTACACTGATAAGGCCTTACCTAAACTGTATCCTCATAGCGTGAGGCCCAAGCTATATAGTATATACAAGAGGTCATTCCTCTTTCTAGTGAATGTAACAGTAATAAATTTAAGTGTGAGGCCCTAACACGAGATTCTTCCCCTGCAGTAAATAGTAATAAATCTAAAAGAATGAGGCCCTAAATTATGTCCACGTAAACTGTAACTTGTTTAATTTATGTATAAATCTTGATTATTTATTATATAATTATATATTTAAAAAAAAAAAAAAAAGCTTTATAACGTATTAGTAGTAACATTAAACCATTATTAATGGAAATGAAAAAGATTAATGACATAATAAAACACTCAAAAATGATAAAAAGAATTCATTTATTGTTTTAATAAAGTTAAAATTTGTTACAAAAGGTGGCAGCACGAGAAACATGTTTTTGATGGATGGGGGGAGGCGATCATGCGAACAAAAGATAAAACAATGAACTGTCTATGGAGTCGTTGGAGTGACTAACTTAAGTAACTTTTTTTATTTTATTTTATTTTTGACTGCGAAAACTTATTGAAGTGAATGTTATTCTATATCAAGCAGAAAATACACGAAACTTGTGAGTGACTTTAAAAGGTTTTGGTTGATTTTTCAAAGCTTCCATCAGCAGGGATGGAAGTTTTAAAACGCAGTATATACTTTTTATTGTATTCACTTAAGTTTTTGATGTTTTAAAAGCTGTTAGGGAGTTTACAGTTGCATTAACTTGATCGAATGATAAGTAAAAATATATTTTTCATCGACTTAAAATCTCAAAAAATAAAAAAAATTACAAAAAAATTACAAAAGACATCAATTTATATGTAGAGTTTCACTTCTTTAATACATTTCTATACAGAATTTATGTGTATATTTAGTAATTTTGTCTATGTAAAAGAAAAAATATATATATATTATACACATTCATACTAGAGTTATTTGAATCTAATAGGTCATACTTGACGTTTCTAGAACGATTTGAAAATGTAAATTAATAGTATTCAAAGTATAGAATTTATAATAAATATTAGAACCTTTATATAAAGTCCATTTCGGTGAAGAAATATAGAAGGACGAAGACTATAGACTTATAGAAATGATATATAAACTTGCCCAAAAACCAGTTAACCGAATATCTCTGTATTTTATTAATAAATAATAGAAGTTATAACGAATTTAAAAATTTATTGTATAATTTTATGGCTTTTTGAAGGAAATTAAACATCCATTTATAACTTTGTAACTGGTGGGGCCTTATTTTCTCTCTCTCAGAGCCTACAGCTTACAAATATAAAGTTATATATTAGGGCCTCACGCTGTAAGAATATAGTTTAAGATATTACGTCTGTAAATTTATTATTATTCACTATGAGAAGGGCCTCCAATCAGGCTACAATAAGTGTAAATTAAGTCCTGTTTTAACGTTTTGAAGTGTAATAATTGATTAATTAAATTAATATAAAATAAAATAAAATTATTCTTAATTCAATTAACTTAAAATTAATTAATTAGATTAATTATTTTTATTATAGTAATTAGTTAATTGAAAGTGGATTTATATTTTGCATAATTCATTATTATGAAAACAATAAAAAATTGTTTTGAAAGTTACTTTTTAATTTCTACTTTTATTGTTTTATTGTTATTTTTTAATGAATGAAACAATATTGTAACATTTTACTATATTGCTTTGAAGGTAAAAATTACATAAACTAATAAATTTTCACTCTGTCTATATCCTTGTCCTTGACCCATTTCATTTAAATCATAACGATTTATGGTTTATTTCTCAAGAGAAATTACATCAGTTATCATTGTTCTTTGATCAATATATTAATTTAATTAAGAAAACTCGTGAATCGTGAACCTCTGATAAATACAAAAGTTGAAACATGAAATGACCCACCAAGTGACCGAGTGGATAAAACCTCTGAACACTGGTAGTCGGTCACGGGTTCTCGCCTATCCAAAGAGCTTAATATGTGGAGTTATATGGATTTTCTTTATACGTGTAACACCTAAATAGGGACCAATTTCCCATAGGAAATCCTCCCAGGAAGCAACTCCCTTGACACGTGTCTAAAACTAAAATAGGAGCAAATTTCTCATAGAAAATCTTTCCAGGAAACAATCCCCTCGGTAGATCGCTTGTGTGATTCGTAAAATTATCTAATAATTTATTTAAATAGCATAGGGAAACAATTCTCGACCGGTGTCATACCCAGAGATACGCACAAATCTAATAACACACACATCAAATATAAGCCAAATAGGATAACAACTACAAATAAAGCTAAAGACTTGTAAGAATTATTTGATAATCAGCATTCTCTATCATCTTTAATATCCCTGATTATTTTAATAAATCGACTGTCAATGCTGATATACAGTGTATATGTCTTGTTCGCTATTAACTCGTGCATTTTATTCTTAAGTCTTGTCTTTACCTGTTTACTAATGCCTAGTGAAGAAAAAGCTCTTTATGCAAAAAAGAAATTTAATTTTATCTCTTTAAATTAATTCATCAGATTAGAATTATTTATAGAAATCTTCGTCGTGACATTATCTAAAATATAAAACGAAATATCTTATATAATAACTGTGAAAAAAAAAAAAGATTTCAATTAAAAGTAATTAACTTTTAAAAACTAAAGTTCACTTCCCGTGGCATAATCCTTTCTCACGGTTTAATTTCAAAATGAAACGAGAACAAATTCCCTGATAGAGACAGGTACAGTACATCTATGTTCAATACGTTGTCGAATGTAATCAAACGATGCGTGTTAATAACGAAGGTCATAAAATAATATCAATAAATAAGAGAAATGACTGTATTCAGTGCGAAACGAGGATAAAATACATAAAAATTCATAACTTAGAATTAGAAAAAAAAAGTGAAGAAAGACAACCAACAACATCATCCGTCTAATCAGAAGAAACAAACCTCAGCAAAGGCCAATGAATCCAACCAACTTCCCTCCCCCGGTAGGCAGTATTACTGGTTCTCGCAATTCTAAGACCTATTTTAATAGTTTAAGCGGTTAAAGTTCAAGCGTCTTTGCACAAGTCGTCATTCAAGTCTCCCCTTCTAAGTAGGACAGAAGTCTATGCCTAGAGATGGACAATTACTTTATACACATATTTCTCACATTCTTATTATTTGTTAAATATACAGGTGAGTAAGATTTTTTTTTCTAATTTCGTATGATAATTTATCTTTTCGTTTAATTAGTACTTCCGAAAGTATTTATAAAAGGCCCACACTAAAATTGAGTGTTCTTTTAGACTGTGTAACTAGCTACAAATCAGTAATTTAATTTTTGATTTCGTGTTTGACGTCTATAATCTTATAAACGATAATAAATAAATATATTTTATTTACCTCTAGAAAAAAGTATTTAATTTAAACAGTTATATTGTCTAACATAAAATAAATCCTTCATACATTATAGGTATTTTTTCAGGCATCTTGAACTACAACGTATGCAAACTGATGCAAGATTTTAGTTACAGAGAATAAAAATTAAATATTTAAATTTATTATAGAACCTTTATTAGATTAAGAATTTAATTTAATCTATTGTATACCTCCTATTTCATTTATAACTTTGTAACTGGTGGGGCCTTATTTTCTCTCTCTCAGAGCCTACAGCTTACAAATATAAAGTTATATATTAGGGCCTCACGCTGTAAGAATATAGTTTAAGATATTACGTCTGTAAATTTATTATTATTCACTATGAGAAGGGCCTCCAATCAGGCTACAATAAGTGTAAATTAAGTCCTGTTTTAACGTTTTGAAGTGTAATAATTGATTAATTAAATTAATATAAAATAAAATAAAATTATTCTTAATTCAATTAACTTAAAATTAATTAATTAGATTAATTATTTTTATTATAGTAATTAGTTAATTGAAAGTGGATTTATATTTTGCATAATTCATTATTATGAAAACAATAAAAAATTGTTTTGAAAGTTACTTTTTAATTTCTACTTTTATTGTTTTATTGTTATTTTTTAATGAATGAAACAATATTGTAACATTTTACTATATTGCTTTGAAGGTAAAAATTACATAAACTAATAAATTTTCACTCTGTCTATATCCTTGTCCTTGACCCATTTCATTTAAATCATAACGATTTATGGTTTATTTCTCAAGAGAAATTACATCAGTTATCATTGTTCTTTGATCAATATATTAATTTAATTAAGAAAACTCGTGAATCGTGAACCTCTGATAAATACAAAAGTTGAAACATGAAATGACCCACCAAGTGACCGAGTGGATAAAACCTCTGAACACTGGTAGTCGGTCACGGGTTCTCGCCTATCCAAAGAGCTTAATATGTGGAGTTATATGGATTTTCTTTATACGTGTAACACCTAAATAGGGACCAATTTCCCATAGGAAATCCTCCCAGGAAGCAACTCCCTTGACACGTGTCTAAAACTAAAATAGGAGCAAATTTCTCATAGAAAATCTTTCCAGGAAACAATCCCCTCGGTAGATCGCTTGTGTGATTCGTAAAATTATCTAATAATTTATTTAAATAGCATAGGGAAACAATTCTCGACCGGTGTCATACCCAGAGATACGCACAAATCTAATAACACACACATCAAATATAAGCCAAATAGGATAACAACTACAAATAAAGCTAAAGACTTGTAAGAATTATTTGATAATCAGCATTCTCTATCATCTTTAATATCCCTGATTATTTTAATAAATCGACTGTCAATGCTGATATACAGTGTATATGTCTTGTTCGCTATTAACTCGTGCATTTTATTCTTAAGTCTTGTCTTTACCTGTTTACTAATGCCTAGTGAAGAAAAAGCTCTTTATGCAAAAAAGAAATTTAATTTTATCTCTTTAAATTAATTCATCAGATTAGAATTATTTATAGAAATCTTCGTCGTGACATTATCTAAAATATAAAACGAAATATCTTATATAATAACTGTGAAAAAAAAAAAAATTTCAATTAAAAGTAATTAACTTTTAAAAACTAAAGTTCACTTCCCGTGGCATAATCCTTTCTCACGGTTTAATTTCAAAATGAAACGAGAACAAATTCCCTGATAGAGACAGGTACAGTACATCTATGTTCAATACGTTGTCGAATGTAATCAAACGATGCGTGTTAATAACGAAGGTCATAAAATAATATCAATAAATAAGAGAAATGACTGTATTCAGTGCGAAACGAGGATAAAATACATAAAAATTCATAACTTAGAATTAGAAAAAAAAAGTGAAGAAAGACAACCAACAACATCATCCGTCTAATCAGAAGAAACAAACCTCAGCAAAGGCCAATGAATCCAACCAACTTCCCTCCCCCGGTANATCAACTTTTTTTAGGTCAAACTTGATCAGAGAAAGAAGATGGCGGAATTCTAAAATATTAAAGAATTTCATTTGATTTTTTAAGGTTTTTTTTTTATATATATATATTAAAAATTATTTATTTTACTAATTAGTTTTTAATTAATATCGAAGTATATACTCAACGTTATACTGTATAAATTAAATGAAATATATACCAGGAAATAACGAATAGAAAAATCAAGAAGGAAGTTAGGCGATTTGAACGAATTCTTGGCAATGGTATAACAGTAAACAGCACTTTAACGATGGCCTACAATTGACAGATGGCCAAAAGCATTTAGAAACGGGTTTCTTATTCTCGGGAATGTACCGTTAGATTCTTTTATTATTATTTTTTTTAATAACAACTCTCATTATCGTACCGATCCTTGTTGACAGTAAATAATTTTTTAGGCACTTTAATTGTAATGAAAAGTGAAAAAAATATATATATAGGGGTGGGTAAAAGTCAGTTAACTAATGTAAAAACTAAAAAAGATGCTTTTAGAGGGCCTCTGACATGCATGAACCTACGCTTATCGTGTTAGAATCCAATCCTAGATATTGAAGATGCCTAAGATATAGTGTAATAATAGTTCTATATTACATAAACTTATATAAAATGGGCCTTGTATATTTGCTTAAGGCCTCATATAAGATAAAATAACTATGTCTATATTAAAAAAAATTCAGTAATGATACTTCTTTTCGATCTATATTAACCATTTTATATTAAACTAGTAAACATCACCTACTCTATATCCAAGTATTACAAATTAATGATTAATGATAGACTACTACATTAGGAATAAATATTCAAATAAGGCTGTAAAACCTGTTAGTGAACAGAGTGGAATCTTGACTAAAAAAAAAAAAAAAAAATATTAATAAACTGAATCATAAGATAAATATTTACTTGTATAAACTTTGCATGACTTCACAGAAGCCATCACGTTGAAATAATTTTATGAGGGAAGAACTATTTCTGTATCATGTTAAAAAAAAATAAAATAAATACTTATTTTGTTTAATTTATTAAAGATAATTCGTGTAAATATATTATAAATTAATTATAATTATTAATAAATTAAATACAATTAAATCATTCTAATATTATTTCAGTGCCTCAAAGTACCCCAATTGGACTTGTCGCTTCGATTAACAGCGGAGGATTATTAGGAAATGTAGAATTTAAACCTCATCCATCCGGAAGAAATTTGACAATTCGAGTGTTTCTTAGAGGTGGAACATACGGAGAAAAGTTTAGATGGAAAATTCACGAATTCCCTGCAATAGCAGATACATCAGTACCTTGCAGTCAGGAGAAAGTTGGAAGATTGTAAGTTGATTTTTTGATAAGATGCAACAACATTTTTAGAAAAATTAGGGTGAAGGTCTCTAAATCGTGTTTGGCATATTGCCACGAATAAAACTCAAGATATATTTTTATTTTATGATCATGGTTTTACCCCGACGTGTAAAGGGGGACAAACGATCATCCTTAAGAATTATGTATGATCTGGTTCCTGTTTTTTTGACCTTAATGATTCATCTTGAAAATAACAAATGCCTTAAACATTTGAAGAAAAATGAATTGAGAAAAACCATATGAAATTTAAATGAAATCACGACTAAAAAATAATTGATGTCATATTTTACTATTAACTATATTAAAACATTGAATATAGGTCAACTATATAAATTTAAACTTACAAAATTATATTAAATCACTTTTCATTCATATATAATTATTAAAATTCGTCTCTAAATATAAATTTCTATTTTTCCTATTTTATTACGAATGTAATAAGTTAGACTATACTAAATTCTAATCTGTGTTTTCTTTAATTATAATCAATGCCTCTCTAAATAAGAGACCTTATAACATAGCTGTGGAGTTTCCGTAAATATGAGGTTAATTTATATTCAATGATATTATTTGATATAGTACAGTACTAATGTTAAAATATAATTGTAAATGGACTCTTTTTTTTTCTATGTTTATTTTTCTAGACTAAATATTCAGCCGGATTTCCTCATTCTTGGCTATTTCTTTTTTAAAATATCTTATTGTTATGAATAGATTAGGTCTTATTACATATCATATGGATAGATTTATTGTTCAATGACATTACTGGTTTTATTTTTTTTAAAAAAATAAGTAACAATTATAATGTTATTCAGCTATACGAGAATTTTAGATAATTGCTTATACTTGAGTTTTCATTTTTTTTTTTTTTTTTGTTTTAAAAATAGACCAGCTCAATAATTACTAAAAGAGCTTAATGGATTTTTTACTTGATATTTTAATAAATAATATGCTTTATAACCATCCTCATTTGTTCATTACTAGCATCTTCAATCTTCAACAGAACTAGCTAAATAAATAAGAAATTATTAATGTTTCCAGACTAGAGCTATTGCTTCTCTAAGGCACTATAGTGCCTTAATTGAACACTTCAATTGAACACTATCTCGTCTCTCGATTCCCTCGTCAATTGAATACTATCTCTAGATAGTGTTCAATTGAACACTATCTATAGAGACGAGATAGTGTTCAATTGTTGTCTCTTATCTCTGGCTCCCTTCCTTATATGTTATCCCTCCTTGTTTCTCATCTCTATCTCTTATTTCTCCCTGTTGTATCTTACATCCCTATTCCCATATAAATATACTAATACATTTAATAAATCCTGATGACACTCTCTATCCACCCCCGTAATCGCATTAGCATTTAAATAATCGGATTCTAATCAGATTCCTCAAAATTGTAGTCCATTAATGTGTGGTTGTTCATATAATATAATATATATAGGTATATATGCTATATATATATAGTATATAGCCTATAATTTTCGAGTCAAATACAATGGATTGATAGTGACGAATTTTCTTGATCCTTAATGTAACTTATATAGTGAAGGTCTTCGAGTGTTCACTGTATTTAGAATTTAAATATGAGAATTAGCCTACTCACGTTTTATTAGTTAATGCTGTTACTTTGTTTGCCCACAACAACAGCTATTATTATAAAATTATAAAATATAATAATAGCTGTTGTTGTGGGCAAACACCCAGAAAGAAATATTTATTAATTTAATAAATAAATTTCTTTTTTCCTTTTCTAATTATTATTTAAATTATTTTTAACATTCTGAATTGGTTCTTATTCTCATTCATCCGAAACTAAGGAAAATTTGGTAATAATTGATCAGTGTCAGTACATCCGAACTTTATTGATTTCAGTCTGTAAAATAGAAATTTAAACCTGTTTTGTTTCTTTAAGAAAACCTATTTGTTTAACATACAATAAAAATCTCGTTTCTATTCTGTAAACATTCAGTTTTCTTTGTAAGTCCCATTAATAGCCGAGTATATAAAAACCACTGAATACTGGTCACGGGTTTGCGCCTCACAAACGGGCTGACCAGGTGGAATTTTCCATGTTTTCTTCACCTGTCTAACACTTAACAAGGAAGTAGGGACCAGTTTTCCTGCAGAAAGTCCTCCTGGGAGGCACTTTACCATTTCGCATCAAACCAAACCAATTTCCTTTATAAACTTATTAACAATGTGTGATTTGTGTATAATCTACTTATTGTTAATTTATTATCTTATTATAAACAATTGTCTTTTAAAATATCTTTAAGCATACGAGTATAAAACTCGTTCCTAAATTCATTTTTCATAACACGATAAATCTCTTTTCAGATATGTTGATTTGACTCCAGCTTATGGGCAATTATCTACGGGTAAAGATATATCTGTGGTTTCAACCCTCAAGCCTGCAACAATTTTGGGCCGGACATTGGTACTCAGAGGTTCAGAAACCGGTAGACTTTCTTGTGCCGTGATTCAACCCAATACTCGAGTCAAAACGTATAGATCCAAGTTTCATAACCCTCTCGGAGGTGAAGTAGTGCTGAGACAGAGTAGCATTGGAACTAGCGTGCTTTCACAACTTTACTATGTTAATGGTACAAGAAGAGATTCAGTTCATAGATGGGCTCTGGTTCATACTCAGAGTCAAGATACTCCTGAAACGACTTATCATAATGAGATGACACAATGTTCTAATGTTCACTCCACTCCACTCATTCAATTGTCAGAAACTGTGGGATACGCTGCTGTTGGAAGGAAGCCATCTGCCATAACTGGGCGTACTTTTTATACAGTGACAAATTTACAATTTCTGGACGTAATCCAAGGCACCGTTTATGTTATAGTGTATTCAGAATACGATACAAGCAAAATATTAGCATGTAGTCGCCTCTATTTGATTCAACCCAAGCAAGCAGTAGCCAAATTCCAAAATGGGCTGACGGGTGAAGTATCATTTAGACAGGAATCTCCTTATGATCCAACGCTTGTAACTATCAATTTAGATCAGTTAGATAAGAAAGCTTACAGTTACGGCGTAGATGAGCTTCCTTTGATATTTAGAGGAAATAAAAGTGCTGTTTGCCCGAACATTAAAGCCGTCATCTATAATCCTTTAAAGGTAGTTCCAGACGGTGTACCACCACCCGGTAAAGGAAGTATAGATCAATATGCAGTAGGAGACTTAAGCGGAAAGTATGGCACTTTACAATACAAAGATAAGCATATACAACAAGTTTACGATCCCCAATTATCTCTTTTTGGGGTTAACAGCGTGGTGGGTAGATCACTTGTAATATATTACGCAGACGGTCGTCCTCTAGCGTGTGCTAATATAGAATTAAGTGGACACAGAGTTATAACGGCATTCGCTACATTCTATCAAGTTATACAGGGACAAATCATATTGCGACAGAATCGTGACGATTTGCAATCAGATACTTCAGTGTACATCGAATTATCGTATCCCTCTGGAACAGCCGAAACTAAAACATATAATCATCCTTGGCATATTCATGAGCGTCATATACAAACCGGATCCGCTTTCAGTACTACAGTTTGTGATCCAGCCGGTCCACATTATAACCCATACAACGTAACCGTAGATGGAATATATAATTGTCACTGTAGTGGTATCGCGCCTTCACGTTGCGAAATGGGAGATACTTCGAAAAAGTTAGGATTCTTAGACATTCCCCCTTACGCAGTGAAGAACAATAAACAAGATATAGCCAGATATTTTTTTACAGATCCTGAACTCACTCTTGCGGGACCAACAAGTATTGTTGGAAGGTCTTTAGTAATTCATGCAGAAGATTACGGAAGTCCGAGAATAGTCTGTTCAAACATTATGGAACATCACGGATGAATGATGCATCCATCGACAAATTGTATCAATTTTGTCAAAAAAGGATTATATATAAACTATATATAAAATAGCCACTGCAGCTTTAGTTTTATAAACTGCAAAAGCTTAAAAAAAAAAAAAAAACAGAAATACTTTTCTCACATATAAAATTATTTTTGAAATATTTAAAATCTATTTTCATAATCAATCAAATCTTCATAACTTACACTTAAGAAAAAAAAAATTAATTAAATATTTCATAACAAATAATTTTACAATATTATTAATAATAAATGAAAAATGGTATGAAATACCGAAATTTTGTAAACGAAACTTTTATATTTAATTTGTGGTAAACCATAAATATATTGTAGAAAACCATTGCAAATAGGACCACAGAAAGCCACAGAAACTATAGAAAAAAATTTTCTGTATAAGGTTATATATATATATATGAGGCTTGTGTTGTTTTCAATACTCTGATAAGCTGATTATATAGTTCGAATTTCATCTAACCAATCAAATTGAAGAATACATATGAAACTTTCTGGATGGAATCTGAATTGAGGAGAGTAATCCTGGTATGGACTGTACCGGATTTATTCTGTTTTTAACCCTCAAAAATAGAATAAAACCTTAAACCATTTTATAGGCTTTATAATTCAATATTTATAACAAATTTATATATAAATAATTTTTTCTTTTTAAATAAGCCATTTTTAGAACCCTTTCTCACTGTCTTAATTTGGGCTATAGACAATGTGACCACTCTAGACTTAAGGCCTGTAGAAAAAAAATATTGAAAATTATGTCGACATGTTTTTAGCTTACTTTTTAATTATTTTTTAAATTAATTTTCTACGCAATTACCTTTTTTCAAAATTATTCTACCACTTATCAATTCACTTTGAGTGTAGTTTAATTACAAATAATTTTGTTTTTATAGTCATTTGATATAATCTTATAAATTTGTCGTTCACAGTTGAGAAAATTTTTACGTCACGAAATATATATACGAGGCAATCGACCATTCTGTTATAAGACAATTTTTTCACGGATACTTAAGAGTGAAAAACANAGTTCAAATCCTACTCTAAATTATTTTCAGATTTTATAAGTTTATTTAATAACTAAAATTTTTAACAGAAAGAAACTTGCATCATCAATTTATTTTCATTATTAGTTTTAAACTTAGAAAGATTTCTTAACTTCAGAACTAGACTTAGCTTTACTAGAGCTTTGAATATTATATAATTCATCTTCAGCCAAATCGAATACTGGCATTATGAACTTAACACTCTATCTGGAACCTGTTACCACTGTGTTTTGTGAATAATACAGTTTATCACTAATGTTTTCAAACTGTTAAATAGTTCTTTCTCAGGTGAAATATACCGAATAATCAATGGAACATATCAAAATAGAATGTGAATATTCAAATTAAATCGAACGTATGTTTGGTGAAGTTCGTTACGATGAGCAACGCACTTCGTGGATGGATGATGGTAAATTAAAGGTTGGCGTGCATAAGGGCCTGCCAGGCAATAGATAAATTTAGCTCCTCCTTTTGATTGATGCAGGTGGCTGTGTGGCTTGTTCTATAAATGGATATGGCCTCTAACCATCTTAGATGTTTATGGTGAGAACAAGCCACAAGGCCATGTGCATCAACCAAAAGGAGCTAAATTTATCTGTTGCCTGGCAGGCCCTTATGGACGCCAACCTTTAATTTACCATCCACCCACGAAATGTGTATGCCCATCATAACGAATTTCACCAAGCATACGTTCGATTTAATTTGAATATTCACATTCTATTTTGATATGTTCCATTGATTATTCGGTATATTTCACCTGGAGAAAGAACTATTTAACAGTTTGAAAACATTAGTGATAAACTGTATTATTCACAAAACACACCGGTAATAGGTTTCAGGTAGGGTGTTGATGAGTTGTTGATCTTCATGTTTGGCATTATGAAATACAAAGGTTTGTAACTAACTGATTTTCTTAAATTTTTTTTTTTTTAATGAATTGCTTTGAACATTTTTTTCAGGTTATTACAATGGATTTATGAACAATCTAGCTAAAAGAATTAAACAATTCTAATGGAAACAATAACGTCTTGGGGGGAACGATGTTGAATTGGACGAGTTGTTTATTTTAAATTTTTTTTTTTTTAATTTTTAGTTCATTTTTTATTCACCAGATGATGCCACGTGTCTGCAATAAAGCGTCCAAAAATTGCACTGTATATAAATGTACAGTACTGTACTGTACAGTACATCTACCATATTCTTCGATACAAATTTTTTTTTTTTTTTTTAATTCGAGTTTACACTCTCTGACGAATCTTCTTGTCGGCATATTGAAGCAAATTCTTCGTCCAAACTTTTATCTAAATCTTCTTGGTCTGATACTTCTTCTTGATTTAATTGTTCGGCTTCTGTGTCGTGTTTCTTTTTAGCAGTTGCCATTTCTGCGGCGTGTTTTTTCCTCCATTTCGTTCGTCGATTTTGAAACCACACCTTTAAAATAAATAAATAATTAAGTATAATTATTTTAAAATTAAAAATTACTTAATACGATTTAGTAAAGTATTTAGTTTAGAACACGAAAGATGGCGCCACATAAGTTTATTTATATTAATATATTTTAATTAAAATAAAATATATTTTTTTTAATATATTTTAAATTGAGCAGAAACATTTCATAAACTTTTTATTAAATTTTTAGGAAATTTTTTCGGTTTATAACTGCTGTTTAGGTTATATATAAACTTTAAATTTAACTGTTGTTTAAATTTTAAACATTTACAGAAAAACATTGGCTAAGATTTCAACATGAGAAGTAAACTTTATTTTCTTATATATTTAAATTATGGAAAGAAATAAATTAAATTTAATAAAAGTTTTATATTGACAATATTGCAAACTTTGTAAAAAGTTTTCGTTTAATATACTGCAAGCTTCAATATTTTTAGTTGTTGTATCACAGTATAATTTTATTTAATTTTTGAACTTGTGCATGACTTAAATATTAAACAATTTATTACAGTAAATGAATTAGAAGGTCAATTTAAAATTCAAAATATTTTAAGAAACATTATCTGAATAGAGATAAAATTCTGAGGTCATTTCTTTTGACATTTTTTTNCCCCCTATAACACTGTTGATTATTCCGTTTTATATGAATTCCATGTTATACGAGTCATTTAGATTTTATAAATACGTGAGCCATTTACAGCCCGGCACACGTATTTGTAAAATCTAAGTGACTCGTACAACATGGAATTCATATAAAACGGAATAATCAACAGTGTTATAGGGGGGTCGACTTGTACAGAAAGAAAAGAAGTTTCAATAGAGATTCCTTATAGTTAAACAATTATAATGCTACTGAAATGAATTCAAAGTAATGAAATTAAATCGCACAATATAAGAAACGCCTACATACTTGGGTGTAACGTCTTACTTATTATTATGTACCCGCTTTTTTTTTGGGTGTTTCCTTGGAGTTTGTCTAGTTACTTTAGTGGATGGAGTTACGTCCTTGAACTCGCCCTTTCTTGATGACCCTAAAACGAACCCGACACCTCTTAATTTTAAAGGGACATTAACAATTCATTAACTTCGTATTCTAATTCAGAAAACATCAATAAATATCTAAGAAAATTAAACTGTTACTCGAGTTTTAATGACTTTAAAGTACTCTTAAACTTAATTAAATTATACAATAGTTATATCTGATACAATTTAATTAAGTTTAAAAAGTTTTTATTTTTGCTGTAAAGTTTATAATTAATGTAAAGTTCTCAAAATTTAAAAAATATATATATTTTTTTTACACAGAAAACTCGTTTATTTAACGATTTTAGACTTTAGATTATCCAAAAAAAAAGAAAAAAAAGTGAAATATTAAATTAACTTTTCTTAAAACGGCTTCAATTAGTTTAGTTTCATTAAAAGCACGAAAACCAGAATCAATGCCTTTAAGGCATTAAATAATGCGTTACAATTGCAAATTTAAAAGATTGTGGTAACATCAACATGAGTATATAATGAAGTAATAAACCTGTCTGATGATAGCTTATCTTATCGGCTTAAATATCCTCCTATTTAACATTTAAATACCCCTTAGTCATGACTACACAAACATTTAGTCTATTTAGTCTCTCCAAATCATTCTAATAGATCCCCCTAATTGGAAACATGACAGGATCGAGTGTCTTGAAAAGACTAGGTTCGGAAGTCGTTCCGGTTCACTTCTCAAGAGACATTTTGAGGGAGAAAATTCGTTAAAAATGATAGCCTAATATCACACAAATAAATATATCTATAGTGTTAAATTCTAAATATTTATAGTGAAATATTATACTATTATTATTATTATTATTATTATTATTATTTTAAATCACCAATTACATCGACTATACAAGAACAAAATGTCAAATTTGTCAACATGTTTTCTTGTTTTTCTCATGTTCCATGATGTATTTACTTATAAATACAACAGTAAAAGTGGTTATTTTTATTGCTAAATTGTGTCAATATTTCAACATTTCCTATAGTTTATTAGAAAATAATCAGTTGTACTGGTTATACTAGAGTAAATCGTTAATTTTAAAATTTGTAAACGTTATCGCATGCACATTTATATATAGAATGAAACAAAATCGAAGAAACATCGAGTTTTTTTCCTAATTTTACTATTAGAATAGATACAACTGTGTAAGAAAAGGGAAACATTTTTAATATCTAAAGAGGAAAAAAAAAAGCATTAGTTCCGTTGAGTTTTATTCCATTTTAAATGTAAATATCTGAATATAAACTTTAAAAAAATAAAATAAAAATGTCTCAAAATAAAATTTTTATCCCATTAACATCGGTACAAGTAGCAAAATTATTCTAAAGGCGTATTGTATCGTTGCTTTTTATAACAGTTGAGCTCATAAAACAGCCTTTATTATTTAAGCAAAAAATAAATCGATATATTTACTTACCTTAACTTGACTTTCGGACATTCCCAGTGCATAAGCAAGTTTTGCTCTTTCCGGTCCAGCTAAATATTTAGTTTGTTCGAATGTCTTTTCGAGTACATAAATCTGATGACCGGAAAAGGTAGGTCTGGTATGTTTCTTCTTTCCGTCTTTATCGAGGCAAGAATTCACTTAAAAATAAAGAATTAAATTATATTAAGTTTAATATAACTTTAATTTTAACTTAAAAAATAAAAGTAGGCTATATTTACTAATCTCTTTAAATTATTTAATAAATTTTACCGTCTTATCATTTAATTTATATTATTTACTGTACTCTTAATTAAAATTGACTTATATGACAATTAATTTTAAGAATTGTATAAAATATTTTAAATAAATAGAAAGAGTTTATTAAATAATTTATTAATCTATCTTCAAAAATAACTTAAATTGTTAAACCTTAAGCATTTAATTATGTATTTTACTAAACATTTAAAAATATATATATTTCTGTATTTTTTGAATGATTTTAATATAAAAATATTTAATAATTATTTTCTTCTTTCCGTCT